GAGACCTCATACTGCAAAAAGAGATTATACAACCACTAGGTGAAATGCTGTGGGTTCAAAAAATTGAATATTGGAGCTATGCATTTCATTTTTAGGAAAAAATTGTACAGTACTTTTTTTTACAAAATAGTAGTTAATATGTTAATAGTTAAATTGCAATACAAGTGAACGTCTCTCCATAAATTCAAACTTAAAATATATATATATATATATATATATATCTCTTTATATCAACAAAATGACCTTTTATTTATGAATCATAAGCTTACAAACATAGCAACAATATATCAATAAAAAGGGAATTAAGTGCAAAGAGTATCATAGTAGAACAAATCTCATCTACCACAACACCTAAGTGCATTTTAGGGGTGGGCACGGGTCGGTTGCGGCCACGAAACCTCCAATCCGTCATTCGTCTGCCAGATTGGCGAATTGGAGAAAATCAATCCGCATCCGTCCGCCAATCCGGGAGATGTGGATTGAGCAGATTAGCCGTTTGGTAGATGGATGCGAATCGGTTTGGCGGTTTAAAATTTTATAAATTTTTGACATAATTCAACTTGTGCACTTCCACAAAAAAAGAAAAAGAAAGTATTACAGTAAATGACTTAAAAAAATATTACAATCACTGCATGCCTCATCCAAAGCAAGAAAGTTTGAAACTTTAAAATATTAGAATCACTACATGCCTCATCCACATACTACAATCACAGCATGCCTCATCCATATAAAGTATTACAATCTGTGGTTCTTAAAATATAAAAATAATTCAAATCACCAAAATCATAAACAAAGCAGTAGTAGAGATTGTATGTCTCTATATTGTTACATCTATATCTGTTTTTGAAAACAAAAACCAACCAGAATATATCATATTTTGTATTTATTATTTTTTGAGATAAATTTAAAAACCAAAAAATATAGATAAGTAATACGTTTATTTTTTTCAATTCAAAAAAGATATTCAAGTTGAAAACTTTTTTTCAACAGAATATTTAAACTTTTTTTTAATTGAAAATACAAACATAATATTTAAACAAATTAAAAACACAGTCTTATAAATTACTAGGGGTGCTTGCGGTTTGGCGGTTTGGCGGTTCGGTTGCAGCCAAAGTAATCTCAAATTCGTCATCCGTCCGCCAGATTGGCAGATTGGAGAAAATCAATCCGCAACCGTCCGTTCGTCACCACACATCCGTCCAAAATACAGCGGATCGGTTTGGTTCGGTCGGTTTTGACGGATCGATATATCCGCTGCTCACCCCTAATGTATTTTCTATGATCACTTGAGCAATTGGGTGGTCAAATTTTATAATACTTATTGAGATAAATATCTTATATTTTTCTATTGTTGGATGATAAAGATGTTACCAAATGACAACTATGCCCTTGGACCGACAGCGTAAACACTGCCACGACATCCATGTGTGGCTATTGAATTGCTTGTCTCTTACCTCCATTCATTGGAATAAACCCATTTCGTTCCTAATTAGAGCTCCAAGACAGAAGGGTAATTCGCACTATTCAAAGGTTACTCGTAGGATCTCACTACAAGAAAATACACAATTGGCGATCACTTTTGCCGACTAAAAATATTTTGATTGTCAAAAGTTATGGAATTGGCGATCAAAAATTATGTTAGTCGGTAAAAGTACAATATTTAGCTACTAAATTTTTTTAGTTGGGTAATATTAATTTTTGGCGACTAAAAAAAAATTAGTCGCTAAAAATCTCACAATTGGCGACTAAAAAAAAATTAGTCGCTAAATTTGCCACAATTGGGGACTAAAAAAATATTTTTGTTGCTGTATATATAGTTTTGGCAACTAAAATATTTTGGTCGCTGAAAGAAAAATAAAAATTTATTTTTTATCTTTCGCGACCAAAAGTTTGGTCGGCAAAACTTTAATTTCAGCAACTAAAAATTATTTTGGTCGCGGTATATATAGTTTTGGCAACTAAAATATTTTGATCGCTGAAAGAAAAATAAAAAATTATTTTTTATCTTTCGCGACCAAAAGTTTGGTCAGCAAAACTTTAATTTCAGTGACTAAAAATTATTTTGGTCGCGGTATATATAGTTTTGGAAACAAAAATATTTTCGTCGTTGAAAGAAAAATAAAAAATTATTTTTTATCTTTCGCGACCAAAAGTTTGGTCGGTAAAACTTTAATTTCAGCGACTAAAAATTATTTTGGTTGCGATATATATAGTTTTGGCAACTAAAATATTTTCGTCGCTGAAGGAAAAATAAAAATTTACTTTCACTCATCACTCTTTCTCTCTCTTTCTATCTATCTGTCTCTCTTTTTCTCTTTGTGTCTCTATCTCTGTCTCTCTTCTCTTTCTCTCTCTCTCACTCATCACTCTTCTCTGTCTGTCTCTCTCTCTCTGTGTCTCTATTTTGGTCTATGTCTCTCTTCTCTTTCTTTCTCTCACTCATCACTCTTCTCTGTCTCTCTCTCGGTGTCTCTCGCTTATCTCTTTTTTCTCTATCTCTCTCATCTCTCTCTGTTTCTCTTCTCTTTATCTCTCTCGCTCATCTCTCTCTGTATCTCTCTCGTTTATCTTTTTCGCTCTTTTTCTCTCTCTCTTTGTCTGCTTCTTTTCACCCATTTTTTCATCTTTCCCTCTCTATTTTCTTTCTCTCTCTTACTCATCACTCTTCTCTCTCTGTCTGTTTGTCTATCTATCTGTCTGTCTCTCTCTCTCTCTCTCTGTGTCTCTCACTGATCTATCTCTTCTCTCCTTTCTCTATCTCTCTCGGTCTCTTTCGTTCATCTCTCTTATCTCTATCTCTCTTGCTCATCTCTCTTCTCTGGCTCTCTCTCATCTCTCTTTTCTCTCTGTCTCTATTGCTCATCTCTCTCTTATTTCTATCTCTCTCTTTGTCTCTCTCGTTCATCTTTCTTCTCTCTATGTCTCTTTCGCTCATCTCTCTTATCTCTATCTCTCTCTCTGTCTATCTCGTTCATCTCTCCTCTCTCTGTCTCTTTTTCTGACTCACACTCTCTATCTCTTTCTCTCTTTGTCTCTCTTCTTTTTCTCTCTCTCACTCATTACTCTTCTCTATGTGTCTGTCTTTGTCTCTTTTTCTCCTTGTCTCTAACTCATCTCTCTTCTCTCTATCTCTCTCATCTTTTTTCTTTCTCTATCTCTCTCATTCATCTATCTTCTCTCTATCTCTATCTCTATCTCTCTGTCTTTCCTACACAGCTTTCTTCTCTCTTTATCTCTCTCTTTTTCTATGTCTTTCTCTCGATCATCTCTTTTCGCTCTCTTTCTCTCTCTTTGTCTATCTCTTACTCATCTCTTGTTTCTCTCTGTCTCTGTCTCTATCTCTTTCTCCTTCCTACTCTGTCTCTGTCTTTGTCTTTGTCTCTCTCTTTCTCTCTTCTCTCTATCTCTCTCTCTATCTCTCTTCTTCCTTTGTCTCTTTCGTTCATCTCTCTTCTGTTTATCTGTCTTGCTCATCTCTCTTCTTGAGCTCTCTCTCATCTCTCTTCTCTTTCTGTCTCTCTCGTTCATCTCTCTGCCTCTCTCGCTCATCTCTCTTATCTCTATCTCTCTCTCTGTCTATCTCGTTCATCTCTCCTCTCTCTCTGTTTCTTTTTCTGACTCTCACTCTCTATCTCTTTCTTTCTTTGTCTCTCTTCTTTTTCTCTCTCTCACTCATTACTCTTCTCTATCTGTCTGTCTGTCTTTGTCTCTTTTTCTCTTTGTCTCTCACTCATCTCTCTTCTCTTTATCTCTCTCATCTTTTTTCTTTCTCTATCTCTCTCATTCATCTATCTTCTCTCTATCTCTCTCTATGTCTTTCCTACTCATCTCTCTTCTCTCTTTATCTCTCCCTTTTTCTATGTCTTTCTCTCGATCATCTCTTTTCGCTCTCTTTCTCTCTCTTTGTCTATCTCTTACTCATCTCTTGTTTCTCTCTGTCTCTGTCTCTATCTCTTTCTCTTTCCTACTCTGTCTCTGTCTTTGTCTTTGTCTTTGTCTCTCTCTTTCTCTCTTCTCTCTATCCCTCTCTCTATCTCTCTTCTTTCTCCGTCTCTTTCATTCATCTCTCTTCTCTTTATCTGTCTTGTTCATCTCTCTTCTTGAGCTCTCTCGCATCTCTCTTCTCTCTCTGTCTCTCTCGTTCATCTCTCTGTCTCTCTCGTTCATATCTCTGCTCTCTATCTTTCTCTCTGTCTTTCTCGTTTATCTCTCTGTCTCTTTCTCTTTCTCTCTCTCTCTTTTCTTTCTCTCACTCATCACTCTTGTCTCTATCTCTTTTTTTCTTTGTCTCTCGCTCATCTCTCTTCTCTCTATCTCTCTCATATTTTTTCTTTCTCTATCTCTCTCACTCATCTCTCTTCTCTCTATCTCTCTCTCTCACTCATCTTTCTTCTCTCTCTATCTCTCTCTTTTTCTATGTTTTTCTCTCGATCATCTCTTTTGGCTCTCTTTCTCTCTCTTTCTTTGTCTATCTGTTACTTATCTTTTGTTTCTCTCTGTCTCTGTCTCTATCTCTTTCTCTCCCTGTCTCTCTCTCTCTCTTTCTCTCTCTGTCTCTATCTCTTTCTTTTACTTTTTATTTATTATCATTTTGGAGGGATTTTTAAATTAATTTGGTGAGGAACTCTAGAGGGATTTCAAACACACTAAAATGAGTTAGGGCTTAAACACCTGTCTCTCTCTCTCTGCCATCGATTCTCTCACGCTTTTGTTTTTCGTGTTTTTTTTAGTGAATATTTTAAAAATTTTAAGTATTTTTTTTTTTTTACTTTTTTAGATGTATCTTACTTAAATGTATCTAAAAAGTAAAATATTGTAAAAAAATATTTTCAAAAATTAATAAATCTACGAGAACGAAAAATATATTAAATTTTAGTATTTTTTTTTATTATTTGTATTTTTGGTATATAGTGATTTTTTTAAAGTTTTTTTTACGAAAAGTTCTAGCTACAAGAAGTTTTAGTCATACTATATGCGTTATTTGCCGACAAATAACCAATTTAGTCGCTAAATTGGTCTAAAACTTTGCGGGGGAAATTACTTTTAATATTCGCGCCCTCGTCCATTCTCGTTTCGAACAAACACAAAAGTCCTCTCTCTCACACATCACCACCAAACCTCACCCCACCTCATCTCAGCACAGTCCCTCACCACCGTCGCTCCCCGTACGTCGCACATTGCCACGGCTGCAACCGCAAATCACCATCGCCACCGCCGCAGATCACAGGTTCTCTCTCCCTCTGTCTCGCGCTATCAGTCTCTTAGTCCTTCACAAGCAAGCAGGTTCTCTCTCCCTCTCTCTTGCTCTCTTTCTTTCACACAGGGAATGAATCACCACCGCCGCTCATCTCACCGTTGCACATGACTACCGCCTCTCATCTTCCACTGTCGCACATCATCACACGGCCACTGCCGCTCACCATTGTCTCGCCTCCCATCGACATTCAAGTTTTTCTTTCTCTCTCTTCCCATTTCACTCTAACTCTAGAGTTTTATTTTTTTTGATGTTGTAGGATTTTGATTTCTGTGAAATAAGTAAATGGGTTTTGATTTGTGTTCTAGATTTATGGTCTTTTGAACTGATTATTGGTGTGGTAGATTAGATTTAGTGATTTGGCTGTAATTTGTAATCGATTCTTTTCGCCAATTGCTTTTTCCTCTTTACCACAGACGCATGAGTTCCTCGCCCCAACCAACCTCCGAAGCTCTCATCCACCAGGTATTTCCTCCTTCTTCCTCTGTCTCTGTCTCTGTCTCTCTCTCTGTTTCACCCCTAATTTGTGAACCCTAGCATTTTTTTTCCTGCAGTGTTGCTGCTACTCTTAGCCACCACGGTTTCCACCATCAGCCGCTAGTTTTACCCTCTCAAGTAACTCAATCACTCTCATGCCCTCATTATATTTTTGGACGTGGCCCTGATGTAGACAAGCATACAGGTTTCTTTGTTTTGCAGCATTTTATTGCTTGTAATAACTTCTCAATGTCGGGTTCTTAATTTTTACAAATCAACACTCGTTTGAAATTAATTTGCACAAACACCATGTTAATTTTTCTCATCTATACTGCTTTTCATCTGTTCTTGTTTCATTCTCCTCTATTTGGCTTGACTTGTTTCATATCATTCTCTTTTTACCTTCTAAAATATTAGATGATGCTATGGTGAATATCTCATTGACGTATCGGGTGAAGAAAAATTGGCAAGGAGATCCGTGCAAGCCAATGAATTCTTCATGGAATAATGTAAATTGCAGCTACAATGGTAACAATTCACCAAAAATGACGTCATTGTGAGTATCCTGAAAAATTTTATGCCTATATATCAACACTGACCATAACCATTTAATCTCTAAATGGAGTTGAATTTCTTTCATTCAGGAACCTTTCCTCTAGTGATTTGACTGGGGAAATAGCTCCTGCTCTGTTTGGTCTCAAATCATTGAAGTATTTGTAAGTATTTTCTTCTTCACCAATGCAACTCTAACTATCTAAGCATTTTAAAATTACCTGTTCCAGTTTTGGCAACAACAGGAGGAAAACTTATGGCATTCCCTAAAAGAAAAAATAAATTAACTTCTACTTTATTTCTCATTTCTCTTTCATTTTCTTTGCCCTCTACAAAACATCCTAATAGGAACAAAAAGATTTATATGGGAAGGATTCCCTCTCATGATACTAGTAACCAGCAGTATAGCTTGTTTGTTTGCAGGGATTTATCATACAAGACCTCAAAGAAGTCGTTCTTGGAAACAAATGCTAATAGGGGCGATGAGGCCGGAACAGAGGAAGAGCAAGCAACATTCATGAAGGAGCTGGAAACTTTCCACGAAGAGAGGTGCTCGGAATTCAAAACCCCAAGATTTTATGGAGAGCCATTAAATTGCCTCAAGTGAGTTATGAGTGACCCTAATTGCCAAATTTGCTTGCTTTAATTTTTTGGGCGCTTCCTGATTTGCACTAATGTTTCTTCTATATGTGAGTTAGGTTATGGAGAGCAGTCATCAGACTTGGTGGCTATGAACAGGTTTCCCAGATTTTTTAGTTTGACGAACTTATTTCCATTTTATCATGTGCATTATCTTTTACTATGCTCTGGTCTATCCCTTGGAGTTTATCTACTAGTTACATACATTAACCCTGATGCTGAATGGAAACTTAGAATATTATAACTACTGGCTCCATTTCATAAATTTATTGGGAAAACTTCCAAGTACTTGGATTTGTGCACTTATTTTTTATGGGGGGAATAAACTATTATTTTATTGACACATTTTGCCTATAGTATCAAGTTTGATGAAGTCAATAATATTAACAACTTTCATTTTATCATTTGCATTATCTTTTACCATGGCGTGGAATGAGAGCAGTTTTTGTTTTATTACATCAATTGATTGGTCCATGGACATGAGCAGTATAATTTTGTCATCTAAGCTTCTCCACTATCAAAAAATTATTTGTAAATGATATGGAGCATGATTTGTTGTCATCTGGCTTGCTTTGGTATCGCACACTTGTTGAGATATATCTCTCAATATCAAATATGTGACAATCTAAATTGAACTGATTGTAAAAACAATAGTAACCAATGTTTTATTGGTCAATACTTCTAGTAAGGATATTGTGGTGCAAGGTAAACTAGGAAATCTGCTAATATGCAGTAGCGAGATGGGGCATTTAACACTAAAATTTGCTTCATCAATTTCTGTAACTCAATAGATAAGTGTGCTTATGTGACCTAATTTGATGGCGAAATCTTTTTAGGTTGACATTTTTATAGGACCTGCAGATGTGCATGTGATAGCATATTTTTAATAGAAAAAAATTGTATGATAGAACAAATCCACATATACATGGCATAAATATGATTGTCCAACCAACTTTCTTTTTGTTCTGTGCTCAGGGTCAAATATTTTGGATTCTATTGTTAATTCAATAGTAACTTTGCTTTTTATTTATTTATTTATTTATTATTAATTTTTAATACACTCTTCCCCACTGCATGCACACACAACATATAAAAAAGGACAAAAGTCAGCAATCCTAATTGTTGAGAAGGAACTAAAAGGACAGAGTAACATATTAGGGCTTGTTTTTTGTTGGTAAATATGCAATATATTGTTTGAGAAGGAACTAAAAGGACAGAGTAACATATTAGGGCTTGTTTTTTGTTGGTAAATATGCAATATATTATTTGAGAAGGAACTAAAAGGACAGAGTAACATATTAGGGCTTGTTTTTTGTTGGTAAATATGCAATATATTATTTGAGAAGGAACTAAAAGGACAGAGTAACATATTAGGGCTTGTTTTTTGTTGGTAAATATGCAATATATTGTTTGAGAAGGAACTAAAAGGACAGAGTAACATATTAGGGCTTGTTTTTTGTTGGTAAATATGCAATATATTGTTTGAGAAGGAACTAAAAGGACAGAGTAACATATTAGGGCTTGTTTTTTGTTGGTAAATATGCAATATATTGTTTGAGAAGGAACTAAAAGGACAGAGTAACATATTAGGGCTTGTTTTTTGTTGGTAAATATGCAATATATTGTTTGAGAAGGAACTAAAAGGACAGAGTAACATATTAGGGCTTGTTTTTTGTTGGTAAATATGCAATATATTGTTTGAGAAGGAACTAAAAGGACAGAGTAACATATTAGGGCTTGTTTTTTGTTGGTAAATATGCAATATATTGTTTGAGAAGGAACTAAAAGGACAGAGTAACATATTAGGGCTTGTTTTTTGTTGGTAAATATGCAATATATTGTTTGAGAAGGAACTAAAAGGACAGAGTAACATATTAGGGCTTGTTTTTTGTTGGTAAATATGCAATATATTGTTTGAGAAGGAACTAAAAGGACAGAGTAACATATTAGGGCTTGTTTTTTGTTGGTAAATATGCAATATATTGTTTGAGAAGGAACTAAAAGGACAGAGTAACATATTAGGGCTTGTTTTTTGTTGGTAAATATGCAATATATTGTTTGAGAAGGAACTAAAAGGACAGAGTAACATATTAGGGCTTGTTTTTTGTTGGTAAATATGCAATATATTGTTTGAGAGATTGAATGAATTATTAGGAATTCCAGGTGTATTGTTTTCCTGCTTTTGGCGACCAATTTATTAGTGGGGACAAATAAATAATTTTTTTTTCGCAAAAAATGACAATTGCCGACCAAGAGTTTTGGTCGCAAAAAATACATCTATTGCTGACCAAAACAACTCTTGGTCGTGGAATCTCACTTTTGCCGACTAAAAGTTTTGGTCGCGAAAATTAACAAATGGTGACCAAACTTTTTGGTCGTAGAAACTATTATTTAGCGACGAAGAAGTTTTGGCCGTGGAATGTAATTTGCCGACCAATTTTGTTGGTCGTTGAAAGTAATTTTTGCTGACCAAATTAGCGACTAACATGCATGGTCGTTGAATGTAATTTTTGCTGACCAAAGTCTTTTCGCGACTAAATAGGTTATTCGCGATAATTATATGTTTAGCGATCAACAATTTAGTCGCTAAATAGAACGTTTTGCCGACTAAAAATATTTTTAGTCGCTAATTACTTTCCGCGACCCTCAATTGCCGACCAACTTGGCGACCAAAAAAATTGGTCGGGAATATGTTTTGCCGACCAAAAATTGGACTTTTGCCGACCAAATCTTTAGTCGGCAAATGTGTTTATTCTTGTAGTGTCTATCCACAACATAAATAAAAAAATAAATTTCTTTTAGGAAAATAACATGTACGAATGTGGAAAAAAGAAAAAAAAAAAAACTTCTCTTTTTAGAATTTTTATGAGAGTTCTACTTCTTTTAAATTCCGAACTAGAAAGGCTCAAGGGATCTATTATGGGTTTTATTTTGATAATTTAAACGATTTATTTTGTTAGGTTCTTAGTGTATATTATTCTTAAAAAAAATTAAATCGATTTGATAATTGTAATATTTTCAATTTATTATCCTTGTTTAAAAAAATGAACGATAAGTATGTCTTTAAAAATAAGCTATCCATTTTTTATGATATGATGCACGCTTTTTTGAGTTATGATAATATGTTTTGAATTAACCCCAAAGGTTTGACTTAGTGGAAGAAGAGGTAGCCAAAGGGCTTATCACCTACAAGATCACAATGTTGAATCTCACGAAAACCATACATTTTAAATCTTGATAGATTTGCCCTGATCGATAACTTCAGGTCTTGGAATTAGTCAAAGTACGTCTAAACTGATTCAAACCCCTAATTATAAATAATAATAATAATAATAATAATAATAATATTGTGTTGTCTCTAATAAAATTGTGAATTGTAACTTGCAGTTATGATATTTGTATTGCAACTTTAAGCACATCACATTCTTCCATATATATCATTTTGGGTAAAATTTATTTTAACTCCTTGTGGTTTTTTTGTCGAAACACTTTATTTTCTTATAATTCAAATATAGGCAAAGAACCCTTTTATAATTTTGGACTAAAGTGTAAAGGTAACTCTGTTAAAAGTAAGGACAAAATTACCTAAGCATCTCTATAATATATTCTTTTTTTCTCTCTCTCTCTCTAATACATATAATTTCCTATTTAACAAATAAAATCATACTAATCTAGTTTTTAATTTTTAACCTAATTCCTTATTTAATTACATTTTAAATTAAACATATAGTTATCATAAAAATTAATCTAAACAGTTTAATTTATTGCCACAAAATTAAATCATAAAATTATCTTAATCTAATTTTTTATTTAATAACATTTTAAAATAAACATATATAACCAATTAAATAAAAAATTAAACTAAACGCCCTAATTTATTACTATAAAATTAGCTTATTTAATAACAATTTTAATTAAACATATAAATATAAAGTGGGACTAATATTTTGGGACAATGAAAAATGGAATAAGGGACTAATATTTTGGGACAGAGGGAGTATATATTTAACAAATTAAATCATAAATTAAACTAAAACCCTAGTTTATTACCATAAAATTACCTTATTTAATAAAATTTAACAAGTTAAATCATAGTTAACCTAAATGCCTTAATTTATACCATAAAATTAAATCATAAAATTACCTTAATCTAATTTTTAATTTTTAACCCAATTTATTATTTAATAATATTTTCAAATTAAAAATTTACATATATATATACACATATATATTAAGTTAAACCATAAAATTACCTTAATCTACTATTCAATTATTAATCTAATTTCTCATTTAATAACATTTTAAATTAAATTAAATTATTTGATAAGAGATAACCATTAGGAGGGTTTGGTTAGGATTAAGATTTAATTTAAAGAATAAGATGAATATGAAGGTATTATTGACATTTGATTCAATTTTTGACTTTGACTAATGACTTTTGCATTGCCCACTCTCAATTTGGGAAAATGTAGCACACCTTCTATTATTTTTAACAGAAATACTAACTGTAACATTTTAGTCCAAAATTGTAAGAAATTTCTCTACTTATATTTGAACCATAAGGAGATAAAATACTCCGTCTCAAAATCACAAAGGGATAAAGTTAATTTTGCCCTATTATTTTTATATGGAGACAATGTAAAAACCCAACTTATTTTTTATTCGGCTTATGAGAAGATTGCATTCTTCAATGGAAAAACATTTCATTGAAATTAAATTAGAATAGTGTCAATCTAATTTAAAAATAAATTTACAAATTTAATAATGTGATATTTTATTAAAATATTCAAGGTATCTCTCTCATGAGAGAGAAGAAAATAAGTTCGATCATGCAAGAGAGGAAAAGAGAAAACGGTGAATCTCATCATTTCACGGTGAGTTTTGTACAAATAACTGTGTCACCAATTTAAGTTTAAAATGGCACTGTTTGAGTCGGTCCTTTTGTATATCAAAAGTGGCGTTTTTCTAACCGTCGTAATATAAACGCGGTAATAGGACCATCTCTTGTTAGGGGTGTTTATGGTTTGGTTACGGTTGAAATTTTTCTAATCCATCATCCATCCGCCAGATTGATGAATTGAAAAAATTCAATCTGCATCTGTTTGTCGGATTGATGA